AGGACGTCGAGCGTTTCCGCAGCAGCAGCGGTGGCTCAGCCAGGGCAGGATGGGCGCGGGCCTGGCCTGACGTCACCGTGACAGCCCATGGCCCCCATCACGCCACGGACCCGCAGCCATGAACTCACGGCCCAGGAATGCACACSAGGCCGCCAGACGCAGCCCCCTCCCCGCGTGGGGCCGGCCGTGGGGCAGCCCGGGGGATAGCCCCAATTTTGGCTGGCCCTTGGGCATCCTGAGGAGCCCTGGGCACAGCCCAGTACGGTGCCAGCGCCCGGCGAGGCCGTGGCACGTGTCCTCTGGAGGAGTGGTGTCGGACAGTCCACGGTGACAACAGTGGCGGTGACTCCCCCAGCCCCGTTATCAGCCCTTTGCAAACAAACCCTGGAGTCCATGCCAGGATCCCAACCCCGTCCCCCACTGCTGCCCCACAATGATGCCAGCCCCATCCCAGGACACACAGCCCCAGCCCCATGGGCACCGGTGCAGGGAGCCCCATGTCCAGGGGGATGGCAGAACCCCGGTGACCGGCACCCACCCCAGCGGGTGTCAYGCGCCGGCCCGGCCGTGTTTGCAGAGCTCTCCACAGCCCTCAGCGAGGGGCAAAGTGTGGGCTCTGCAAACACGGCCGGCGCTGCTCCCCACCCACCCCACAGCTCCTAACCTGCCCCACAGCTCCTAACCCGCCCCACAGTTCCCCATTCACCCCACAGCTTCTCATGCACCCCACAGCTCCTAACCCACCCCACAGCTCCTCACCCACCCCACAGCTCCTCACCCACCCTACAGCTCCTAATCCACCCCACAGCTCCTAACCCACCCCACAGCTCCTAACCTACCCTACAGCTCCTCACCCACCCCACAGCTTCTCACCCGCCCCACAGCTTCTCGCCCACCCCACAGCTCCTAACCCACCCTACAGCTCCTCACCCGCCCCACAGCTTCTCGCCCACCCCACAGCTCCTAACCCACCCTACAGCTTCTCACCCGCCCCACAGCTTCTCGCCCACCCTACAGCTCCTAACCCACCCCACAGCTCCTAACCCACCCTACAGCTTCTCACCCCCCCCACAACTTCTCACCTGCCCCACGGCTCTTCACCCACCTCACGCTGGAGCCGTCCGAGCCAGGGTCAGCCCAGGCTACCCAGAGAGGCATCGCCAGCCCCCTGCACTGATTGCATTAACACACCTCAGGTCCCCCAGTCCCCAGAGAGGTGCTGGGGTGCTGCTGCAGCCCCCCAGGCCAGGGCTGTGCCAACAGGGTTCCCTCACCCTGGACTGTGTGGGGACACAGCCAGCCCGGCCCTCCCGCAGACCTTCCGGGTATTTTGTGCTGCAGGAAGCCRGCCCATCCCCTGGCCCCAATCCTGCACATCCCATGTCCCCAACGCTGTGTCCTGCGAGTAGCCATCCCTCCAATGACGGGCTGGGACTAGGGACTCCTCTTCTCTGTCTCCCCAGATGGGCACACGCAGCAAGTCTTGGCAGTCCCCAGGTGCCRCATCCCAGGATGGCACCTGCGGTGTCACCTTGTGCGTCCCAGCTGGGAGGGGTGACCGTGGGACAGCTGTGGTGACACAGCCAAATGCTGCCCACAGGGCTGAGMAAAAGCATCAAGGCCAGACTGATCCCCTGAGCAGATGGAAATACCTCACAGAGTCCTGGATGTATGGGGAGCACTGGCAGGGGATGGCGGGTGCCTCCTGCACCCCCCACAGAGCCCTGGGCAGGATCTGCCCTGCCCCAATGGCCAGAGAGACAACAGCACCAGTGGCCAGGGCAGGGCTGCGGCCACGGCCAAGACCCCCAAGGTGGGGCAGGGCCAGCCCTGCCGCCATCTGTCCCTGTCGCTGCTCCAGCACAGCAGCTGCCCTGAAACCCAAYGCTGCCTGCGCCCAGGCGGCGCGGGCGTCCCCTCTCCCCCGGCCAGGGCATTCCGCACGGATTAGCTCCCGTCCCCCCAGACACGCAGGCACGGCTGCCCCGCAGCACCCAGCCCGGGTGAGCCTGCATGGCACCGGCCCCAGCGCTGGCACCACGACGACGCCATGCCCAGCGCGGGGCAAGGTGCTGCCCTCGACACTGCCCTCAACACCGTATCGCCCGGCCCATCCCACTCCTCCCTTGGGCACCAGTTCCCGTGCCACCGACCACCGGCAGCACCTGGAGCCCAGCAGTGCCCAGAACAGCGCGGTTCCTTGGCCGGCACATGGCCGGGGATGCTCAGCCAGGCGGAGGCAGATCCCCGGTGCCGTCAAGCGAGAGCACATCGAGGCCCGCGGGCACCGCTCAGACCAGCGGCCCTCGTTAACTGTCCGCCGCACACCCCTGCGGGGCACTGCCCATGAGGACGGGGGGGCACCCGCCCTGATGTCACCTCATGTCCCCCCAGCTCCGTATCCTCGTGTTCCCGCTTCGCGGCACAGCCGGGGCCGCCACGGGCTGCTCCTCGTGCAGCGCCCGGCGGGGCAGGGGTCATCAGCCAGGGACCAGCCCTGCCCTGGTGGCGAGCAGAGCAGGGCTGATAGTGCCGTGGAGGTCATCGGTGACTACTGCAAAGCCACCCAAAGGTGCTGGTGTCACACTGCCCAGCCACCCTGGCCACTGCACCAGCTCTTACTGTGCCAGGGACAAGGCTCTGGCCAGCCCTAAGAGACACTGCTGGACCTGCACGACTGCTCCCCACTGCCTTTGGGGACACCCACATGCCCAATAGACCCTCGGGCCCTCCCTGGTGCAGCTGTTCCCAGCTGCCTCCCCCATCTCAATGGCAGCTCCGTGGGTCTCTCGCTGCCAGCAGGTCCTGATGCAGAGTGGGAAGGCAACTGTGGCTCCAGGAGAGGGATTGCTGTGGGTGTCCACTCTGCCTGAGGTCACCGGAGCACTGCGGGATGCACCAGGATGCTCCAAGTCCTGGAGGTGCTCCAAGCCCTGATGCTGCCCCTAATTCCATCCCCACTTCAACACAGCTCAGATGTGCCTTGGGGTGARCCCTGCCCTGTCCCACCCAGCTCCTGGCATTCCCATGCGCTGCAGCACCCTCATACCTGGACAGGGACAGTGAGCAGTGTCCCTGACACATCCCTGGCACGTCCACACCTCATTCCCAACACGTCCCTTCTCTGTCCTATCCACGGGCACAGCACTGACACGCACCCTCAGTGCCTGCTCACATGGCTGGGCAGGGAGACACGGGCAATGCCAGCAGCTCCCACCTCAGGAGCGCCCAGTGCCACCCTGGCAGCTGCCATCAGCAATGACACCCTGTCCTCAGTGGGGACAGCCACCTGCAGCTTGTCCCCAGGCACACAAGCACTGTCACCCATGGCTGGCTCCTCTCCCCGCCAGCCTGGAGCCGGTGAAACACAGCTGGCAGCGCTGGGGTAGGCTGGGCATCAGCCCAGGGTGTCCCACCACTGCCCACAGCTCCACTTCAGGGGACAGGCCTCTGGGGACAGGCTGGAGTGGCGCAGGAGGGTCCCTGGCAGGCAGCAGGGTCCCTGMAGGGCACAACCAGGTGCCAGGCAGAAGAGGCACAGACAGCCCCCTTTCCCCTTTCCCAGGGCCTGTGTCCTGCAAAGGCTATGGGATCAGGGTATGGCGGCAGCCATGGGGGAACTGCAGCAGCCCCTGGGCCAGGACAGAGGTCACTGAGCTCCTGCAGCTCTGCCGAGCCGGCGGTGACGTGCAGAGCTGGAGAGCAACAAGGGGAACTTGGGATCTTGTGGTGAGGGTGAGACCAGAGCCAGGGGGTTTCCAGGGTTTAAAACACATGCGGAGGAAAGAGCTGGAACTGATGCTGCCCTCAGCACCCCCACAGCACACTGGCTGTGGTCACAGCAGAGCCCCAAACAGCCCAAGGGCAGGAGCACCTGCCCACCATCCATCTGGGCACGCTGGCAGTGGCGACAGGAGGTGCTCTCGTCCTTGGGGCGACCMGTGTGGCGCCGCCAGTGCCCAGGGCAGCCCGCCCAGCCGTGCTCCCAAAAACCTGTCTGCTAGCATCACACGGGAAAACAGAAACCTGGCTGGAAGCAGGGCATGGGGCTCTGCGCCTGATGGCATCCAGCCCCTCGGAGAACAGGTCAGAACCCCTAAAAAACAGGTCCTGTGCCTCACACCACGTATGCAGCACCTCACAGCTGCAGGATCCAGCTCCGTTCCCAACAGGCTGCCTGTGGGGCTGCCCGACCCTGCTCAGAGCCCTCCAAGGAGCGAGAGCTGTGCTAACTATTTTGGACATGGCACCACGGGACTGTCACATCACCGCTCTGCACGTCGCATCACGTTGCTCTGACGGTTTCGCAGCAGCGGCTCCCGCGCTGGGAGAGCTCCTGAGCTGCTGCTCCCAAACACAGGCACTGGCGGGCAACCAGCTCGCCCTCCCTCTCCGCCCTGCCAAGGGAGAAGGGCTGGAGAAGCTGGAGGAAGCCTGGATAAGAACAGATCCCTGCCYGTTCCCTGCCTCGGTCCTCATCCCTCTGCCCACTGCGTCCCTTTGCCCACCTGGGCAGCTCTGCAGGTCACACCCTGCCTTGGCTGCCCTTCATGAGTTCCTGGCCTCCAGTGCCACTGGCTGCCCCACACCATGGTGGGTCCTGATCCCTGGAGGGCAATCCTGTCCCTGCTGGTGGCTCCGACACACTCTGGGTGATAAGAGAGGGAGCAGCTCGGGCTGCCCAGTCATGCAGGTCACSCACACGGGACAGGTCAGGGACGGTCCCTGAAGGAGGACACGATGCAAAACCACCCGTGCTCCTTCAGCACCATCCTGGGCTCACAGCAGAGCAGCCAATCACCCACCCGGGTGTGCAGGGGACCGAGGGCAGCCGGGAACAGCCAGCTCTGCTCCCCGGGCAGCGACAGCCAGGCCAGGGCGGGCGGGAAGGCGGCGGAGGCAGAGAGCGGGACTCAGRCAACATGTCTGGCGCAGGACGCGTCGTTCGGGCAGCGATGCCGGGACCCGCGGCCGGCTGSTGCAGGAGCCGCTGGTTTTCAGCATCGCCGGGAGCCGCAGCCATCCCGCTCCTCCCGCCATCCCTTCCTCTCCGCGGGCCCGGACCGTGGGCGATGGAGCACTGGGGCCGAGGGGGAGGGGAGCCGCCTCTCCTCTTCCTCCCGCGGTGGGAAGCGGCTCCGCCACGGAGCTCTGCTTAGTCACAGCGAGCGCTGCGCTGGAGCCCCGGGAGGCAGCGCCAAACCCGGCCCCGGCCCCGAGCGCGGCCCCGTCGCCGCCGCCCTCCCCGGTTCATCCCGGGGCAGCGGGACCGGCTCCGCCGGGACGAGCCGCGAGTCCACGCGGCGGGGCGGGGGCGGCCCCGGCCGGGCGGGGGGCAGCGGGTGCCTCCCACAGGGGGCATCGCCCACCGGCCGGCGGGGACGAGCCGGGGCAGCGCCGGCGCCCCCCAAACCCGGGGGTTCCCAAGGGCAGCTCCCCTGCACCCCCCAAAGCGGCGGGGCTGGGGCCGCTCCGGCCCTCCCCAAGATGGAAGGGCCGTGCCCGGGCTTTGTCCCTCCCGGGAAGCCGCCCCGGCCCCGGCAGCGCGTTTGCCCCCCGCTCCCGTCTCCTCCGCCGCCTCCTCGGGCCGCCGCCCCGCTCCGCTCCGCTCCGCCGCATTCCGCGGACCCGGCCGCCGCATCTCTGCCGGCACCGCCGGCCGCATCCCGCACCCCCCGGCAGACCCCGCACCCCCGGGCCGCATCCCGCACCCCGACTCGGTGCGGCCCCGCGGTGCGGGAGGGGCCCYGGGCGCCCCCCGGAGCCGGTACCGGCGCCGGTGCCGCCGTGGATCCTTACCGAGGGGCTGGGGCTGGGGCCGGGGCTGCGGCTCCCGCCCGGCGCAGCTCCGCTCCATGGCGCGGCAGGCGCAGGGGCTGGCCCAGCCCCGCTCCCCCCGGCCCGCGGGGGAGGACGCTCAGCGCTCCCCGCCCCGGCCCCGCGGCCCCGGCCGGGGGGAGCGGCTGGGGGATGCTCCGCCTCGCCCCGGCTCCAGACGCGGCCCCGCAGCCCCGACCCGGCGCGGCTCCTCCCGCAGCCGCGCCTGGGACCCCGCGCCCGTCACCGCGGCCTCGGGCCTGCCCCCGCAGTGCTCAGCATCCCCCAGATTTGCTCGGCCACTCGCCCGCCTCCAGCCCCTTCTCTCCCAGATTTTGGGGCTCGCACACACATTTTACGATSCTCCGATCACGCGCAAAGCGCTGGCCCCGCAGCAAAGACGCCCCGCCCCGAGCAGCACCGAGATGCACAGCCAGCGCCACCCGGACCAGCTGCTCCAGCCCCAGGCACCCCAAAAATACACGGATTTCCCGTCCCCGAGCCCCACCTCAGCTGTTCGACAGGCCTTGGAGCTGCCGCTCCCCCGCTCCCCGTCACACGTGAGCCTTAGTCACCGYCAGCAGCCGCCCCCGCTCTCGGGGCTCCCCCCGCCGCATCCCACCCTGCCCCGGTAACCGGCAGACAACAGAGGCGTCTCCCGCTCCCCGGGCAGGAGCAGCGGCCCCGGCTCGGCCCCGCTCAGGGCTGAATCCCCTTTCAGCCCTGCGAGGGTGGGAATGCAGCGGTACGGCCAGGAACAAGTGTTAGCACCAGCAGTGGGAGGAACACGGCTCCAGKCTTTGCAGGGGCACCAGGAGCCACGGACATGTCCTTGTCCACCACGTGGCCAGCCTGMTCCAGGCATCCCGCGGAGTGCCCGGCTCTGGGTGTGTGGATGAACAAAGTTAGTTTTCTGCGGSCAGCACCCATCAGAGATGCCTGTTTTGGGTATGATGTCACCGCAGGCCAGGAGATCCCCTGCCACTGATTCTCCCTCACCTACCAGGCAAACAGGTTTACCGAAATCCCAGCCCTTTCCTTGGAAGTGCATTCCCTTGACTCAGGGATGGGGAGCTCCTCAGCAGACAGGGTGGCCACCTATGATGCTGCAGGGGTAGCCCTACACCCCAAATCACCCCAAAGTCATCACCCTCTTACAGCCTCCAGCCCTGCACCCTCTCACCTGGCTCAGACAAAGGAGAGGCTTCCTGAAACTCCCAGAGCCTCACCCGCCAGCTGACTCCCCACCAGGGARTGCTGCATGGCCAAGCCCCATCTCGGGGCACTGGGCACTCCAGGAGGATGGCAGGGAGTGCATTATCCCAGCAAACTCAGAGGGCCAGGAGATGCCCTGGCACAGGGAAGGAGAACAGCCCCACTCACGCTGTTACATGGCTGAGCCTCCAAGGGGCTGCAGCAGCCCCAGGGCCCATATTCCATGGCACACGAGGGATCTGACAGAGAGGCCCTGGAGCCGCTCCACGACATGCTCAAGGGTGGCTGTGGGTGACTTTGAAAGCCTCCTTGCCTCCCACAGCATTATCTGGAGCATATGAGCATCCCAAGGCTCTGGGACAGCCTGGCACTGGATCCAGCCATGCCCATGGTGCTTCTCCCAGCAGTGGGGTCAGTCTGGAGCAGGGGGCACGGTGAGGAAGGGGCAACCATGGCTGTACAGGGCCCATGGCTGTGCTCCAACAGTGTAACACGACAGGGCTCGTGAACCATGCCAGCCCAAGTCGATGGGCTTATACAAGCAGGGATTGATCAATCACCCGCTGCAGGCAGAGCCCYGCTGCGTTGGGGTTCCTGGGTCCAGCCCCCCCATTCCTGTGGTGCTGGGAACAGCTGCCCTCCCTGAGCTGATGGAAAATCCGATGAGCTCATGATGAGCACGGCACCCAGCCCTGGCTGCTGCATGCCCCAGCATTCCCCGTGCTCCTCAGCCCTGCAGCATAGGAGTACAATGGTGCCATGGCTCCCATGGGCCAGCCTGGGCAGGGTGCTGCACCCCGAGGCCCAGCACCTGGCCCCGACACTGACTGTAGGCACCCAAAAGGATCAGCACCCCAAAGTCAAAGGGTAACTGCAGCCACAGGTCAGCCCTGGCAGCGTGAGCTGATGCTGCAGGAGTCTGGGAGCAAAGAGAGATGAGGATGGCAAACAAACCCTGGGCAAAGTACTGTGTGGGACACCCCACCCCACCCGTTCCCACCTGCACCCCATCTCTCTGCCCCAACCTCTCTCCTCAGCCCCAGGACTTTGTCCTGGCCCCAAACTGCTCCCACCCTGCTGTTCTGTGGCACTGTGGCCACACAGGCTGATCTGAAACCATGTCCTCAGAACACTCGAGCTGATTCCCRCTAGCCATGGGGCAGTGACCCCACAGGACCCCAGGGACAAGTGTGTGTCCCTGTATCCTGTCCTGGGGTGGATGGGTGCAGTAGGAGCCCATTGCCAGCAGCATGTCAGGGCAACAGTGAGCCCCACGGCATCTTGCCATGGGGTTGTGCCACAGCCCATGGCAAATCCCGGCTSCTGCAGGACAATCCCCTGTGGGTGTCAGTGACAAATGGGCCAGCAATGGGCTGAGCCACAGCGGGCTGTGCCCTGCCCTGCCTCAGCCCGMGCCTGCTCTGTAATTATCCCAAGCCGCATCTGTAATTAGTGTCCTGATGTCATGGGGTCAGGCCTGGGCAGCCCCACGCGCTCCCCGCCACCCCCACCTTGGCCTCCGGCCCCAGGGCTGGAGGAGATCACAGTCTTCCAACATCATCCGGAGGAGTTCCTGCCCGGCCCCGGCTCCCCGCCAGCATTGCTGCCGGAATCACATCCCAGCCCTGTTCCACAGCCCCCRAGCTGCTGCAGGGTTGGATCTGTCCCTCGGGCCAGCGCAGGGCTTGGTCGCTCCAACTGCTGCACCTCTGCCCCCTTCCCTGCAGCATCCTGCCCGCTGCCCTGAATCCTGCTAGGGAAGGAGAAGGGCCAGCCCCTTCCCTCCCGAGCCTCCCAGGGCTGCCGGTCACCCGCTCCCTCGGCAGAGGGAATGCGCTGGAGCAGCCCTGCAGCTATAAATAGAGAGGGAGGCGCAGGCACGTGTGGCCGCAGCACACGCGGGTCCAGGCAGCCGCTGCCCYGTGGCCAGTGTGGGGCACAAACAGGGTGTGGGGCTGCGACAGCACCTAGGCGTGGAGCAGCAACAGGAGGAGGGTGAAAGCACTGGGCAGGGCAAAGATCAGTGTGGTCCTGCTCCGGGGAGATCCCAGCTCTGTCAGGAGGATGGAGGCGAGGCCCTACACAGCTGCCACGGAGCACCAGCACTTTATTGCAGGGCAGAGAACCACCACACTGCCCGTGGCACACGGGGTATCTCGCATCCTTTCCCCCGGCCAGCACCCCGTGGCCACTGCCACCGCTAACACCCACGCAGGGGCCGGGCTGCACCGGTGACACTGAACTGAGCACTCAGCACCTCTGAGGGCACCCGCGTCTTCTGGCCTGGCTGCTGCCCTCCGGCAAAGAGGGTGAAGGTGCCGGGCTGCAGGTGCCAGTCCTGCTCCCAGACCGCGCGCTGCTCGGCCAGCACCTGGAAGGACAGCTTGGTCTCCTGGCCGGCCGGCACGGCCACACGGCGGAAAGCCACCAGCTGCCAGYGGGGCACCGGCACGGATGACTGCTCCCAGCGCAGGTACAGCTGCACCACCTGCATGGAGGGATGGCAGTCAGCACAACGGGACCCTGCAGCAGCCCCCTGGCACAGGGAAGCCTGGGCACATCTGTACCCTGTAGAGCCAGCTCAGCACAGAGCAGTTGTGCCCACCTCCTCGCTGTCCCGCAGCCCCGTGTTCTCCAGCACCACAGACACAGAGAGGTTGGCACAGATGGGCAGCACTGGGGGGCTCAACACCAGGTCCCGGTAGTGGAAGGTGGTGTAGGACAGCCCGTACCCAAATGGGTAGAGCGGGGCCTCCTGCCCATAGTACCGGTACGTCCGTCCCTCCATGGTGTAGTTCTCCATTGGCGGCACCTGTGGGACAAGGGGCCAGTGGAACAAGGTAGGGCAGTGTGGGGACAGGCAAGCACCAGCCCTGCATGCCACAGCTGCTCCAGCCACTGAGGCAGGGAAGGGCTGTGGGTGCCACAGCCTGTACCTGTACCTGCGGGGCAGCGGTGCTGAGCGGGGGACCCACAGGGGTCCCCAGGGGGGTCCCACCGCTCCCTCACCTGCAGCACCAACCTGCAGCCCTGGCCTTACCTGGTGCATGCCAGCAGGCCAAGTRGCTGGCAGCCGGCCAGCCGGGCTGGCCCCTGCCTCACCCAGCAGGACCCTGGCGATGGCCAAGCCAGTGGCCTGGGCAGGGAAGAAGCAGGCCAGGATGGCACCCACGCCGTCGTGTGCCTGTGCCCAGCTCACGTCCAGGGGCCCCGCATTGAACAGCAGCAGGATGAGAGGGCGCCCAGCAGCTGCAGGGAGGTGACTGTCACCAAGAGCCCTGTAGTGGCACTGCAGAGATGGCCCCGGGGTGTCCCATGGATGGGGAACACCTGGGTGGTTTGTGACCCCACAGAGGCCCTACCCGCCTGCACAGCATCCTGCAGCAGCTCTAGCTGGTGCCCCGGCAGGGACAGGTCGCTCCGGTCCTTCGCTTCTGTCTCCACACCTACCCCTGGGTGGGGACAGCCAAGGGACAGCTCTTTACACCTCCGTGGGCAGACAGGGCAGAGGGGCACCGACTGCCTCAGAGGGGGGTCACGGGCACCCCTCCCTCCCAGAGCACTCCCCTTGCCCTGGCAGTGCCCACTCAGTGCCCTCCTACTCCCACCTACCTGTCCCCAGGCAGACCAGGACCACATCAGCTGCCTCCACCACCTTCACCAGCTCTGCCCGYGAGTACCACTGGCACCGTGGCTCGCTGCAACCCGCTGCAAAACTGACATTGGCCCCCAGCGTCTGCAGCCCCCTCCTGCACCAGGGAAGAACAGAGGACACAGGGGCAGCTGCACCCCAGGGTTGGGGCACAATGGGGACACTCCCCTTGCCCTGGCCACCAGCTAGGGGCTGAGCAGCTCCAGCAGTAGCCCTGGGCAGTGCTCAGAAGAGGGGGACAGTGACTAGGAGAGGGGGACATGAGGTGGCACCACACTGTCTCACCGGGGAGTGTAGATGTACTGAGGCTCTGGCACTGGTGCATAGTCCCCAAACAGTACCCGGGGATTGTCAGCGAAAGGTCCCACAACCTGCAGAGGTCAGAGGGGTGAGGGTGGGCACCAGCAGCCCTATGACACTTGTGCACCCAGGGTGTGGCACCAGCACATCCCCCTGCTTGCTCCCTTGCAGGGCTCACCGCAAGGCGCTGGCCAGACAGGTCCCGGGCCCGCAGGGGCAGTGTCCCCCGCACRTTCTTCAGCAGCACAAAGCTCTTGACAGCAGCTTCCAGCGAGAGGTTGCGGTGCTCAGGGCTCTGCACAACGCTCAGGTCCAGGGAGCTGTAGGGGTTCATGGCTGGGGGGTCGAACTCCCCCAGCCGCATCCGTGTATAGAAGAGGGGTCGGACCCGGTCACGCAGCATCTGTGGAGACCACGACCCCAAAACCTYGTCATGCTTGGGACAGCCCATGCTCTCTGCCCATGGTCCCCCTCAGCTCACCTGGAGCGTGATGTTGCCCATGGCCAGAGCCTGAGGGATGTGCATGAAGACATTGTTCCTCATGCCATAGGAGAGCTCCAGATTGCAGCCGGCGTTCACTGAGGCTGCCATGCCGGGGAGAATAGAGAACTCCCGTCATGGCTGTGTGATGTCTGGGGCCCAATCCCACACCCAGCCTGAGAGCTCACCGACCGCCGTCTCCAGGAAGGTGCTTGTGTAGTGGTGCCCCAGCATGATGAGCTCCACGGCCCCCTCGTCGCTCACCACGTACCCATCAAACCCCCACTCGCCACGCAGAATGTCCGTCAGCAGCTTCTTGTTGGCACAGGCGGGAACACCGTTGATCCTGTTGGAGAGGGGACGGGGCAGCAGGGAGAGGCAGGCACTGGCCATGCCGAGGGCAACTGGCCATGCCAAAGGCAGCCCAGCCCATGTGGCCCGCACCACGCTCCACACCTGTTGTAGCTGCACATGAAGCTGTAGGAGCCAGCACGCACACACGCCTGGAACTGGGGCAGGAAGGTCATGCGCCAGTCTCGCTCCAGCACCTGCAATGCCATGGCAGAGCAGGGTCAGCACCTGGAGTGTCCCCTGCTCTTCTAACACCCTGGCCCTGCTGTGCTCACCTTGGCATCAAAGCTGAGTCTGGAGACAGGGATGTTCTCAGGGCCCCCGTGCACACTGAAGTGTTTGCAGCCAGCACTGGCCTTGACATAACGGGGGTGCTGGCCCTGCAGCCCCTGCACGAAGCTGCGGGCCAGCTCCCCACTCAGGAAYGGGTCCTCCCCATAGGTCTCCTGTCCAAGGTGCAGGTTGGTCACCACTGGGATCCCCAACCCTACACCCCCAGAGCCCASCAAGCCACGGCCACAGCAGTCTGGTCAGCCACCGTCCTGTGCGGCCTGATCCCAGCCAGGGGTCACCCCCCCAAGCTGGCACCTGGTTCCTGCCCCACAGTGGATGCCTCATGATGTTCAGGACGGGGCTGAAGCAGCTGAGTCCAGTGTGGTCACTGTAGCGGCCAGCGGCAGCGAAGCTGTTATGCTTGGCTCTCACCTCGGTGGCYGTGGCGTTGGCCACACGGTAGATGAGCTCGGGGCTGTGGGGACAGTACAGGGGTATCAGGGCAGGCCAGGGGGGACCTGTCTCACAAGGTCACATCCCACACCCCCGGGTGCCCAGTCCCCGGTGCCGGTACCTGAAGGCGGCGGCGAGCCCTAGCGCYTGCGGGAAGGCCGTGGCCCATCCGGGCGCCTCGGCGTCGCCCCGCAGACACTCCGTGTTCCAGTTGTAGGGCGCGATGCCCAGCCGCGGGATGGGGGGCGCGGGGCCGTTCCCCATCGCTCCCCCCCTCGCCACCTGCGGGGCAGCGGCGCTGAGCGGGGGGACCCGCGGGGCTCCSCGGGAGGGGATCCCGCCGCCCCCTCACCTGCAGCACCAGCTCGGAGGGGCTCAGCCGCCCCAGCAGATCGTCGAGACGGCGGTGCCAGGGCAGCGAGGGGTCCCGGAAAGGGAAGAGGGGCGGCTGAGCCCGCACYGCCCCCGCACCCAGAGCCGCGCTMAGCACCAGGACCCGCAGCCCCAGCGCCGCTCCCAGGCGGGCCCCGCGCGGCACGGCACGGCTCGGTCCCCGCGATCCGCACGGCATGGCCCGGCCTGGCTCCCGAGATCCGCACGGCATGGCCCGGCCCGGCCCGGCCCTCGGAGGCGCGGGCGATGGGCGCGGCGGGGCGGAGAGCGCTGCAGCCGGTCCTGCGCCCACCGGACGGGGCGGAGCGCGGCGGGTCGGAACGGRACGGGACACAACGGGGGRCCCGGGGCTCTGCCAGGTGTTCKGCCGACCCCAGGGCCGATTTGCCRGATRCACCCYCWGYTTTGGGGTCTGTATTTGGGGRRCGGCAAGCCCCGAGCCCCGCGCAGCCCAGCCCCGCCATGGGGGCAGGTCGCAGCATTTCGGTTCCACCCGTCCCCCGGAGCGTCTCCCGTCTGSGGGCGGGAACCGGCAGAGCCGCCCGGCGCCGTCAGACCGGCTCTCGGTGCCATCTGCCGGGGCACCTGCCCGGGGCCCGGGAGCAGTAACTGCTCCACCTGGGAAGGGTCTCCATGTGCGCACTGGGCGTTAGGACAAGATCCGGAGCGGGTGTGTGCCCTCTGTGCCCCTCATGCCCCTCAGTTCAGCGCGGAGAGACACTGCTCGGGACCTCTGCAGTGACCAGAGACACGGTGTCTTTCTTACGTTGGATATTAGGAAAAGGTTCTTCCCCAAGAGGGTGTTTGGGCACTGAACAGCTCCCCAGGTCACGGCCCCAAGGCTGCCAGAGCTCCAGGAGCGTTTGGACAATGCTCTCAGGGATGCACAGGGTGGGATTGTTGGGGTGTCTGTGCAGGGCCGGGAGCTGGACTCCATGGTCTTTGTGGGTCCCTTCCAACTCAGGATTTTCTGGGATTCAATGATCTCCAGCAGCCTTGGAGTGACGGAGAGCACAAGGCGGCATTTGGGACTGGGAGAAGGAGGGGAATTGGCATTGGAGGACTGGAGACAGGGAGCACAGACATCCCATCAGCTCACTGGCACAGCAGAGGTGACGCTGGCAGCCCCCCAGCCCGGGACAGCCACACCACAGTCCAGTGACAGGCCCGGTACCTCCCCTRGTGTTGCGGGGATGCAGCCATGTAAGGCAATGCCAGCAGGTCACCACAGCCCCGCCGGTCCCCACGCTCCTGCTTGGCTGTGACAGTGAGCCAGCTCCCAGCTGCTGGATTCCTGAGCAGCCGGCGGGAGTGGGGGTTCCCTGTGCCCAGAGCATGTCCTGCCCCTGCCACACCATCCCAGCTGGGTGAGCACTCAGCACTTGCTCAGTGACAGGTCTGGGACAGACRTATAATGGAATAAATAAATAAACAGCAGGAGATTAAATAAATAAGTAAACAACACCAGGCGCAGTCTGTCTGGGAGCAGAACCTGGTGCTCTGGGGGCCTCTTGGGGAGGGCTATGAGAAGCTGAGTTGTTCCAGGAAATAATCCCTGCAGTTCCTGAAGCTCCAAGCAAGGCTGTTTTCTGTGACACCCTGTCCTTGCGGGGTCATTTGCATCTCACAGGATGGAAACCCGCTCCTCTTCCACATTGAGCCGCAGCCTGAAGTTCTAAGTCTGCCCAACCCCACCAGCACWGGGCTCGCTTTGTCCACCCCAGGGACACCAGCTGCCCTTTCCCCAGGAATCAGCCTCTGCCAAGCCCCTGGATCTGGGCAAGGAAGGCACGGGAACAGAGACCCTGGCAGAGCTCAAGGCGTGTTTGGACAATGCTCTCAGACATATGGTGGGAATGGTASGGYGTCCYGTGCAGGGCCAGGAGCTGGACTCTATGGTCTTTGTGGGTCCCTTCCAGCTCGGGATATTCCATGATTTTATTCTGATTCCAAGGTGAAAGCAGGAGCCCAGCCCAGGGACACCGGGAAGGGCCCCTTAAGCATGGCACGATGGTTGCTCTGCCGACGGCCCGTGAGGAGTTATTGATCCTGCAACATCACCCGGGGCTGGGGGGCCTCGGGGAGGCCTTCAGGAAACCGGCAGCACCGGGACCGACCGCAGGGAGCAGCACCGGGACCACCACACCGTCACGGGCCGGGCAAGGGCCCGGCGGACACCGAGCGGGCCGGGGCAGGCGGTAGCGGAGGCCCCGGGACGAACCGGGCCGGGTGAAGCGGTAACGGAGGTTCGGGACAAGCCGGGCCGGGTGAAGCGGTAACGGCGGCCCGGGACAAGCCGGGCCGGGTGAAGCGGTAACGGAGGCCCCGGGACGAACCGGGCCGGGTGAATCGGTAACGGCGGCCCCGGGACAAGCCGGGCCGGGTGAAGCGGTAACGGAGGCCCCGGGACAAACCGCGCCCGGCGGATTCTCCACAGCGGCACCGCCACAGTTGCGACGGGCGGGAGCGCCCCCTGGCGGCGAGCGCGGCCGTCACCTGACCCCGCCGCACGCCGGGATTGGTCGGTGCCTCAAGGTCACGTGATGCGGGATGGAGTCTCCCTGCGGCCGCGCGGTGCGCTCTGGGATTTGTAGTCCAGCGGCGCGGGCGGAGCGCAGGCGGCGGAGCCATGAGGACTGCGTGTCCCATAGTGCCCCGCGCTGTTCCCGGTGGTGCCTCACGGCGGACGGAGCGGCCGGGCCGGGCCGGGCCGGGCGGACACGATGTCGCGGCAAGGCGGGCGCGGCACCGAGAGCAAGAAAATGGTAACGGCGGGGCCGGAAGGGCCGGCGCGGCGAGCGCAGGGCGCGGGGCACCCRGGGAACCCGGCCCCGGGAGGGGGTGATCGGGCACGGCCCGAAGCGCCCGGTGCGGCGGGGCTGGGCAGCCATCAGCGGCACCGGGCGCTCCCGTTTGTGGGAAGTTCACACCCAGAACGCTTCCCTGGGGCGTCTCGCTTCCCCTCTCCACCTCATTCCGTGTTATCAGCCCGGCTGAGTCAGGAGCTGAGTGATGGAGCCCAAAGCTCCAAAGCTGAGCTCGAATTCTGGGTCAGACCAGGTCATTATTTATTTATTAATTTGTAATAAATAATAAAACCAGGTCATTAATTCATTAATTTGTAATGCAAATCAGTAATAAAAAAATTAAACCTGTTTTTTTTTCTCCCTCTGGCCGGGAGGAGGGGCTGGGTCGGGCTGCTGCCCTCTCTTGCCTCTCCRTACCACGGAGGATTCTTTTCGAGGGATTCAGCTCTTTAAATACAACGATTATTTAAGGAATTGTGTTAATTGACTGGAGTTCTGGCACTCCTGTAACCACAGAGCAGATCCATAGTGTGGAGACTGTACACTGCTCTGCAGTGTCAATAAAAATATTGGGAAAGCTTTAGGCCCTTTAACTGCATCAGATGGCCTGAAAATGAAAAATTTCTGTCCAAATCTGAATTTAGGGGTTTGCCTTCTTGCAGCAGCTTAAGTTGCCTTTAATAACAGCGYCTCAGCAATAACTGAGATGAGCTGTGGGTGTGTGGGGGCTGACGGTGGCAGGTGACACCTCCATGGCTTCACACGGTGGCAGCACCTCAGCCTGGGGACAGCTGGATTCCCTCCATCCATCCCCATCCCTTCTCCATCTCTGTCTTTACTAAAATGACTGAAATCTTTAAAAACCAACATTACCTGTTCTGCATGTCTGTTAAACTCTCTGCCAAGTCTCTGACTTCAGCTGAGCCACAGGAACTTCCACCACGTCCTTCCAGTGATGTGAGTTGCCCAACCTTTTAATTTTTTTGTGAGGAAAGTGAAATTTTAAATAAAACCCCCAAAGAATGTGTCAGTTCTTTAGATCCAAAGTGGGGCAACAGCTCCAAGCAGCCTGACTTGGTTCTTTTCATACCTGAAGCTTTTTGGGTGGCTGTTATCCTTGTGAGTGGCAATCCCAGAATCCCAGACCAGTTTGGATTGAAGGGGTCTTAAAGCCCATCCTGTTCCACCCCCTGCCATGGGAATGGACACCTTCCACTATCCCAGGTTGCTCCAAGCCCCATCCAGCCTGACCTTGGATACTTCCAGGGATCCAGGGRCAGCCACAGCATCTCTGTGCCAGGGCCTCACTRCCCTCACAGGGAAGATTTTTTTCTTAATCCAGGAGCAAGACAAAGTGGAATTCCCTGTGTCCTCTGCAAACCCAATTTCTATTTTTTTGGGGGTGACTCCTTTGTGTGTTTGTTGTGGCTTTGTGTGAACTTGTGGTGATCTGTGTTGTCACTTAACTCTGATCTTGTCTCTTTTCCCTCCCTGCCTGCTGCTGCTTTCATTCTCTAGTATTGGTATTTGCCATTCATTTCACCTTCTGCCTCTCTGCAGCTCATGGTAGGTGACAGATCCCAGGTCAGCCCCTGTGATCCTTCTGCATGCCAAAACTGACAGCAGAAACCAGTGCTGGGGGTTTGTTTGTTCCCCGAAATGCTCCCTTTTGCACAGTTTTGTTCTGCAGCCTGTAATGACCTCGTTAATCACTGGTTTGGCTTAACGGCTCCCAAAAAATGCTCTTTGACATCATTTAAGGGTGAGGATCAAAGGTGGTGGCTGGGAGAGGAGAACTTTTCCCGTTTTTCACAAATTTTCTCCAAATCTGATAATTGTGCAAAGAAAATCTGACTGGCCAGTCCCAGAGTGGACATGGACAGCACCTGTGGGCTGAGCTGGCCTGRGCTTGGCTTCCCTGAGCCTCTTCTGTGTCTGAGGAGCTGATTTCAATCTGTGAAGCAGATTCTGTGCCTGGAGAGCTCTCTAGGGATCAGACGAGTACAGAACTTTGTAAATTCCTGACTGGAGGAGCATTTTGGGCCTGTTGGAGCCCAGCTGGCACTGCCTGTTTGTAACATGTTTGTGAAACAGAGGGAAGAGTTTGAGTCAGATCTCAGCTCTAGGGCAGTGGTTGAGGTAAATTCAGGGCCCTGCCACAGCATCTCCAGCTATCCAGGAGGTGTTGGTCCCTTTCCCAAAATCCCAGARTGGTTTGGGTTGGAAGGAATCTTWAAGCYCATCCAGTTTCACCCCCTGCCACAGGGGACACATTTCACTAGACCARGTTCCTCCAAGCCCYATTTYGAGGAGAATGAAGTTATTGCCAGAACTGGAGCTGGGATCTCTCCTTATTAAGCACCAGATTGCTTTGAGACAGCAGGTCCCTGTTCCCCTCTCCGTGCCGAGGGCAGCGGTGCTGGACACAGAGGCAGCAGAGCTGGGATGGGTTCTGTTGGGTGAATCCCTTTTCCTGTGTGCAGAACTCGGAGCTGTTCACGCTGACCTAYGGCGCCCTGGTCACCCAGCTCTGCAAGGACTATGAGAACGATGATGATGTCAACAAGCAGCTGGACAAAATGTGAGTGGATCTGCTGTGTGGGAGCCRTGTGAGAGCAGAAAACACAGCAGAGATCACAGCCACCTCCGTGTGTGCTGCTCCAGGAGCAAAATCCTGGCAGGTTGAAGTTCTCAGATTAGACTTTGCTTCTCTGCTGTCTTCTTTTATAAATCTTKGTTGTCTTTCTGAAGCTGTTGCTCTGGTGCCTTCACAGGGGTTACAACATCGGTGTCCGGCTCATCGAGGACTTCCTGGCCCGTTCCAATGTTGGGAGATGCCATGATTTCCGTGAAACTGCCGATGTTATTGCAAAGGTAAATGTCCAAGCACTGCTTTGTTGGGTTTTGTGGGAGTTTTGCATGTAAGGATGAAGTATTTGCTGTCCAAGCACTGCTTTGTCAGATTTTGTGGGGGTTTTGCATGTGAGGATGAAGTATTCGCTACTCATAGGACTGTTCTGAGAGTTTGATGGAGATTCTGGGGAGGACAAAAAGAGATTTAGCCCAAGTACAGGTGGCTGGTAGGAACTGGGAGAAAAGCGAGGTTTTTGCGAACCCCTTCAGTCATTTTACAAAGATCAAAGCTGTGCTGTTGCCTCACGTGTTCTTGTTCCTCTCGTTTGACATGACAGATTGCATTTAAGATGTACCTGGGCATCACTCCAAGCATCACCAACTGGAGTCCTGGGGGTGACGAGTTCTCCCTGATCTTGGAAAACAACCCCTTGGTGGACTTTGTGGAGCTCCCTGACAACCATTCAACCCTCATCTACTCTAACCTGCTCTGTGGGGTGCTGCGAGGTGCCCTGGAAATGGTGAGCCACATCTCTCTTCCCTTGGGATGGGTGTATGGATAGCCAGGTGTCAGCAGATACTTTAATTTTGGTCTGTGTTGGTGACTCCTGGGTTTTGCTTTGGGCTTGAAACACGTTCCCAGGAGAAGGGCAGAGCTGCAGGAGCACTTGGCTGCTGTCATGTGTGGCAGCTGGAGGCCCATAGGTGCTGCCTGAGCCCCTTCAGCTCATGACCCAAGTTCAAGCACTTGCATGTCCCTGAGTTGGTATGAAGCTCCAAAATCCTCACGCTGCAACTGCTGTGAGCCCTGGCTGGGAATTGGCTGGGACAAGAGAACAGCTGTGTCTCAAATTTAGGACTGTGTACAGCCCTGGATGTCATGTCATGCCCTCAGAGCCCTTAAACTGGTGCTCCAGGATCATCCAGCCCCTGGAGAAGCTGCTGTGAAGAGGGAGTTACCAGCTCCTCTCTCCTCTTCCCTCACTCAGGTGCAGATGGCTGTGGATGTGAAGTTTGTCCAGGACACCCTGAAGGGTGACAGTGTCACAGAAATACGGATGAAGTTCATCAGGAGGATTGAAGACAACCTTCCAGCTGGGGAAGAGTGACCCATGGCCCCATCTCCCTGGGGACTGGAGGGACCAGCTGGGTTTGSCCATTAGCTTTCCTCACAGATCCATAGGGATCTCCTGCCCCTGCACACTCAGACTGACTCATTGACTGTTGCAGATGTTATTTTCTTCTAGTCTCACTTCCACCCTCTGTAGAAGACAATTGTCTTTTGGCGTTTATTTCCCAGGTTCATTCTGAAGCTTTTTCATCAGGTGATGTCCTTTTCCTTCCCCTGGTTGCTCAATTTCCAGTTGTGACCTGGGTTGTGTGAGAACAACGGCTCAGACTCCAAGAGGGCTCCAGTCTCTTCACATCTGGATTGGTGTCAGATGGCAGAATTGGAGACCAAGCTACGAGAGCCCACTGAATCCCTGCTAAACCCCATCCTTCCTTAAATGAGGTGTTTAAAATCCATTTGGAGATAATTGTGTAGTGTTTCTGTAGACCAAACTGGCTTCCTGCACTTGATTCTGAAGTCAGAATACAGGCTCTGCTCGGGGGGCTGTGACACCACAGAAATTGGGGAATCCCATGGCCTTTCCAGTGTCCCTCCCCCAGAAGCCTCACCACTCCCCTCTTGGGAGGCAGGGAGGTCAAACTCCAGTGGAGCAGCAAGAAATACTTTACATGGAGAAAGGAAAGAGTGGCTAAAATGGCATCAGTGCTCCACAGCAGGCACAGCCCAGGGCTGTGGGGTGAGAACCATACTCAGGCTGAAGCCTGAGAGGTGTTAAAGGCATTTCAGACTCTGTTCTGCTGTTGAAGGGTGTGAAGGTGGTGCTGGGGTTTGTTCTCACTGGTGTTCAGGCTACAGCAGTATTTCCCATTCTCTATCTGCAGTGCCTGCTGCTCTGAAAAATAAATACGTAAAGAAGTATCAGCCAACAAAAAGCAAGAGATTGGAACATCAGTTTCCTCTGCCACCCAGTGCCAGAGAACACAGTCAGACATTGGGTTCCCAAATCACTTTGCATAGCATGAAGGCACAGCCCCACAAGGTCTTTAGGAACTCCRGGATCTGTGTTGGTTGATGCCCGAGTGTGAGGTGAGAGGGAGCAACCTGCTGCTTGTGCTGCACTCTGGGTTCTCTGGAGGAATGTTGGGTCATCTGGCACTGGATGGCTCATCCTGTCCCTTTTTTGACCCCAAAGAGTCCCTTTGGATGCCCCATGTGACATGTGCCCTGTGAAGGGACAGTGAGTGGCTCTAAGAGTAGCTGGAGGCCCGGTTGTGGCAGGTGGGTATTGGGGGCAGAGGTGCCACATGGTCACATTGCAGAGCTCAAAACCATCCCCTATTTCTCATTGCTGACCATTCCAAGTCACTTTAAAGATGCRTTTTAGAAGCAATTGCATTAAAAGAATCCTGGTGTCAATTCTTTGGTCTCCTGTTGCCTGTGTTCTGGTGGCAGGTGCTGGTGGGGAGTGGCAGCAGGGGCTCACTGCCTGCCTGGAGCTGGCAGGGTGGTGACAATGGTGACAGGGGATGCTCAGGGCTCACTCCCTGCCTGGGGCTGGCACGGTGGTGACAGTGGTGACAGGGGATGCTCAGGGCTCACTCCCTGCGTAGGGCTGGCACGGTGGTGACAGTGGTGACAGGGTGCCCAGGGCTGGCAGGGTGACGGCAGCACTGCATCAAGAATTCCTGGCTGCCAGCGTGCCTGGAAGCTGCTGCCTGGAGGAGCCTGCCCAATGTTCCACACACGCAGGGGCTGGGGTGGCACTGGGGGCAGACCCTGGGGAGCTGTGAATGCTCCTGTGGGCTCAGTGGCTGAGACTCACTGCTGCCAGCCCAAGGCAGCTGCAGCAGTGCAGAGATGCTCTTTGTGGGCATTTACAGTGGCAAAAAAATCACCTCGAGGGGCATCTGTGCCTCCTCTCCGTGCCAGCTTGGTGCTGTTCCATGGCTGGCACTGGCTTGGAGTGCGGCTGCCAGGAGCGTGGAGACAGGGAACAGCAAGGGCTGCCGTCCAGGGGCAGGAGTTCATGGCTCTGTTTCTTGTGGAAGCTCTCCCCAGGAGCCCTGCTTTTGGGGGGATCGATGCTCGGTGCTTGAGGGCATCCCCTGCTCCAGGGGTCACCCCTCAGTCATGCTCCATCCYGGGCATGGAGCACCCAGGGCTGTGCCCACCCCAAGGACAGGGAAGTGTCAGCTTTTGCAATAAAGTGGCTTTTTCTCTCTGGCTGGAGCTGGYGAGCWCCATGTGCTGCCAGCCTGGCCAGGRGCAGGAYCAGGCCTTGCCAGCCCCAAACAGCCCCAACACRCTCCTGAGGCTGTGTCCCAGAGGGCCTGGGGGGAGTGAGATCCCGTGTCCTCATCCTTGCAGAGTGAATCCTGGACTCCTGCTCCCAGCCCCTCAGGAATTACAGTAATTTGCTGGGGCGACAGGGTCAAAACCAGCCCAGACCTTCTGGAAGAACAAAAAGCAGAAATTGCATTAAGTAAATTAAAACTGTCTACTACTGAGCAGCTCGCTGCAGACAAGGGAGAATATGCAAAAAGCTCTGTTTGAAACCTACTAAATATTACCATGTGCTGTTTATAGGAAACAAATGGGGAAAGGCATCTGCATCAATAAACCCCAACGTGGCTGGGCTTGGACTGAAGCCTTTCCACGGCTCTCGGTTATTGAATACCCGCCGCTTTCATGTGGTGCCAGCCCTGACCCCTGACACATACCGYGGAGGGGAAAGTTGACTTGTGGGAATAATAGACATTCCTAGTGAGCGATTTAACCTGGCAGGAAAAGAGGCGACTTCCAGCCTCTCACATCCCCGCGTGATATTGGAGATGACAGCAGCAACAAGTCAAGGGGGGGACGTGGGACACGGAGTGGAGATCGAGCCCCCCACCCAGCCCCGTGTACCCTCATCAGCCTGAGCATCCTGTGATGGCATCGGCCACAGCACTGTGTCCCACACTCACCCCAGGCTCCCACAGCAGAGCTTTAGTTGCCACAGTGCCACAGAGGTGGCCAGGGGCTTTTCAGCCCTTGTCCTCCTCCAGCACCCTTCTCTCCTGCAGGAAAGTGAGACGTTGGCTGGTTGATGGAGCACACTGGCAGGAGCTGAAGTTCCATGTGTGACTCAGGGTCCGGGGTGAGGGTTTAAACCAGTTCATGTCCCCAAGTGCAGGGACAACCTGGCCAGTGTTGGAAAGCCTGGACAAGCTGGCTGCTGCTCCTGGCTGGGGGCGAGCCTGGCCACACTGCCCAGTCTCATGCTAGCCCAGAGCCAGGTGGTCCCTTCTCCACACTCCAACAGGAAGCAAAGCTCCCAGCCCCACTCCTGTCACCCAAACCAGGCTGGGTGACAGCCCCGGGCATTGTCCAGACCCCACAGTCCAGCACTTCCTGAAGGGGCAGGGATGGTGCCGGGAGAGGATCCTGGATGGAACAGGAGAATCTCTCTGGGAAAGAAGCGTTTCCGGGCTGGTGTCCTCATTGCYGGGGCAGCTCCCGCAGCTTTCAGCCAGATGTGCTTGGCCGGGGTGCAGGGCACTCACTGGGGCCGTGCAAAGGATGCTTCACCCACGAGGGCTCACACAGGGATGGAGCTTCTCGGCAGGGCTGGCACRATGCCGGTGGCCCCAGCAGCCAAAGTGTGGGTGGTGCCAGTGGGGACAGGTGGCCTCACGTCCCTGAGCACCTGCCATGGCCAGGTACGGGATATTTGGGGTGTGGGTACCAGTCAGGCRTGGATCCAACCCCCCAGGATGCCCAACTGTGGCTGACCTGGCCGAGCATCTCCCCGTGCTTAGCACCACTGGGCACAAAACCCATGAGAACATGTTCTCTGCCTGATMATGATCCAGCAACTTTGGGCACCTGGGTGTTTTTATAACCCTTCCTGGGCCCCTGGGCTGGCTGCAACACGTGTTTGGCTACCCTGGAAGCCCAGGCAGCTGACAAAATCCTCTCCCAAGGCACGGCCACGCTGCWCCCCCCTGCCCTGGCCCGAACACAGTTTCCAAAGCTGGGAATGCCGCTGGCAACAGCGCCGGGTCAGGGCAGCCCTTTGGCGATGCTCCTTGGCACCCGCCCTCCCGCAGCATCCCTTGCCAGGCCGAGGAAGAGGAGGTGCCTGCAGTTCCTCCCTCGGGTCAGGGGACACAGGAGCAGCCCCGGCAGTGCTGCTCGGAGCCGAGCCACATTCTGGTGGCGTTTGGTATTTGGGGTGACGGGAAGGAAGCTCCATTGTTCCTCTTTTATTGTTTTGTGTTTCCTAAGCGGGACCGGCACCCTCCTCCCACGCTCTGCCCGGCTGCGGAGCGGATCCAGCTCTGTGAAAGCCAACGCTGTGCCGGAGGCGGCTGCTGAGTGCTGGGTGAAGGGGAATGTGGGGAGAACTGTCCCTGCTCCCAGCACGGACAGGCCACCAGAGACACGTGCCGGGGGTGACGAGTGGCTGTGGCAGGGACACGGCTCAGCTCGGTGTCCCCCTGTCCCTGGTCGTGTCTGTGCTCCCAAGTCTTTGTTCCTCTGTGTGGTCATTTGGGCAGTGGCAGCTCGTGCTAGCTGCAATGGGAAGGGATGATCCTGTAGCAGGGAAGGAGGGTGACATTGGCCACGCCACCATTCCCAGCCCTGTGGCATGACCCGGTGACGACATCGGTGCTCTCCCGACATGAGACAGTCCAGCCCCCTGTGCCTCATTCCACCCCACACAGCCAACCCCAATAATCCAA